AGATAGTCAAAATTTCATTGTTGAATTAAATATTGATTTGTTCTCAGATTTTCAACAATCAATTTTTATGGAGATCACATTTTAATTTGAAACTTTTTGAGATTTTTTATCTTAATGTTGGATCTTAATCTTTGTCTTATTAAACTCTAGAGTATTTTTTATTTTATTTTTTTTATGAAAATTTTATTAAGTATTATAAAATATTATTAATATAAAAGTTCAAATATGTATGTATAAAATTCATGGATGTACAATCTTTTTCTTTAAGAAATATCACCTATAAAACTCTATGAGTAGATGTATTTTTAAAACATCATAAAAATATAATAATATTTTATATTATAAAAATTTTAATCTTTTATATTATTTTAGAACTATTATATTTAAAAAACATTAATTTTAATAGATTATATATTTTTTAATTTTTAAATTTTTAGCTTTATTTTTGAAAAAATAATAATAATAATAATTCTTTATGTCCAAAAAAAATTAAACCTTAATTTTTAGAAGCTATGGAATTTTATATAAGCTATAAAAATAAGAAGATTTATTTTTCATTTATATAATACTAAGTCTTTATTCAAATGAAGGTTGCAATAGAATTGTAGAATAATATAAAGTATATTAAGACATATTTGTAAAAATAATATTGATTTATTATCAAAACACTTATGATTTTTCAACCACCTTTTGGGCTAATTTATAACTTATCACAATTACATATATTGCTCTAAAAGAATGTAGTGAGAAAAATCTTGGAAAAAACTTTATTTGATATTCTAAATATTTTGCAAGTATTTCAAATTTCTTTTTTTAAAAAATAAATTTTATAAATATATATAGATTATTTTCAACTCAATCAATTGAAAATTAATATTTTTTATTATATATTTTTTATAGTAAGACTTCTTGACCAATTTAGATCTATACTAAGAGAGATCTATAAGAAATCTACAACCTAATATGTCTTAAATGAAGAGATAAATAAAAAGAATTATTCCAAATTATTTTTTTTTATTTTAAATACAATGCCATATCTTTTGAAATTAAAAATATCCTAATTACTTTCTAATTCATAATAAACATTGTGTTTTGTAAATTTTTTGATAATTATTTTTTCTATTATTCAAACAATAGTCTTATCTATTCAAAGAATATAGATAAACATAACCAACATATTTCCAATATATTATAAAAATTTAGAAATATAAGACTATATACTATGATAGAAAAATGTGTATTTTATATAACTTGAGTAAATTTTTTAAAATCTATTATTTTAACTGATAGTCTACATATAGATTATTTAAAATTTATGCGATATTATTGGATATTCATTAAGAGATTCATTTAAAATTTTACTCAACTTATATGATTAGTTTTTAGAAACAGATTAAAGTAGAATAAAAATGCACAAGCAACATTTTAAGTTTTAAATACAACTCTAAATTTAATTCTTCTTGGATGCCATCCATAATTTTTTAAGCTATTTTTTTTATTGAAATAGATATATCAAATTTTTTATTTTATGTAGTTTTTTCTTTAATAATTATAAATAACAAACTTCATCATATCACTTTTATTCAAAAGTATTCTCAATAATTAAGATTCATTACATTATTCACAACAAAGAATTTCTTTCTATTGTAGATTTATCCAGAAAATGACATTATTTTATAAAAGATACTTCTAATCTAATAAAAATTAGGTTCTTATTTATTTAAATATTATTTTTTATAAAAATAATTTTAATAATATAAAATCTATAAGAAAAATATATTTTATTGATTTTTTTTTTTTGTTAATTAGCATTATACAATATGCGTTGGTAAAGTAATTTTCTTCTATAGTAACTACATTAGAGAGAATAGTAAGATTATTCATAGATATATAGATGTTCATTTATTAGATCTAAAAAATTTAAAAATTTAAATATAAGATAATTATTTTTTTGCAAAAAAAATATGTGTTAAATATTTTTAAGAATAAATATTATAAATTTTATTTTTTTAATAGAATAGAAATTATATATTTATTTTACAAATAATTTTTGTTGTATGATATATATATATATATATATATATATATATATATATATATATATATATATATATATATTTTAATATTTTAAAATTTAGTGCAACAAATTCTCTTGAATCAATGGAAAGATATAAGAAATTATTGTTCAAAAATTATGATAAGAATTATGATTCTTAAATTTTAGCTTTCTAATCCCTTTCGTCTTCTTCTTCAATATTCTTTTTTGATTAGCAATTCTAATTTTTTCAAATCTATATTTGAGTTAAAGCCCTTTAAATTGGCATACTTGAACTATTTGAAGAAATTCCTCTTTCTTTCTATTGGAGACATTTAGCATTCTACCCAAAATGTATTTGTAAATATAAGTTGTCTTTTTTATATTCTTTTCTATGGTTTATTTTCTAATAAAAGAAGTAGTAGAAACTATCAACTTAAGGATATATTTTCTATGCATTATAGATATGTACATGATTTTTTTGTGCTTCTCTATTCTATTCCAAATGTTAGACAACTACAAGTATGTTGTATCTACAATTAGTGCTTTCTTGTTCTCAAGAATCTGCATCTCTTAAAAAAAAGCATCAAATTTTAGTAGAATAATATTACCTTGGTCTACAACAAAGATTCTGATTTTTTCTTATTAATTGATAGTTTGTATGTAGCCTTATGAACTAACTTTTAATTTATACTTGAATTGTGGATGATTTCATTTATAAGCCACAACTTCTATTTTTAAAATTGCTTACAAGTTTGAAAGGCAATTAGCACATTCTTCTCAATGTTCAAACAAAAATCTATATAAAATTTCCAACTTCACAGTCACATTCCCCATGTATACTTGAGGTTATTATCTTTCAATGTCTTTGTGAGGTTGTTGGTATATTCTACACTCATTTTATCAAGCATTTTTTACTTGGATCCATATAAAGTATTGTTAATCCTAAAACCTAAATCCATATGTGTATCCATCTACTTCTTGTAGATACATCCAATCCTAAATCTTAAATCCATATCCATCTTCTTCTTGATATATAAAATAATATATTATAATAGATACATAGTTTTATAAATATTTTTAAATTTAATTTATAATCTATTATTAAAAATAATAATAATATAATTTATTAAATTAAAAATATTTAATATGAGGATATAATCGTAAATGTATTATAGTTTCAAAATTGATTATAATTTTTTTTTATATATTATTAATATAAAAGTTTTAATTTTGAATTGATTCATTTTAAAGTTGAACAATTAATACATCTTAAGAAACTTGTATAAGTTAATAATATTTTATTAAAATACCTTTATGTTATTAATGCCACAACAAAAATAATTCTAATGATTCTAATAATAAATTAGAATAGCAATCTATTGTAGTAAATTAAAATCAAATAAATAAATATTTACTTATTTATTATATATTAATATTAAATATTTTCCATTAATAGTCAATATTTAATTTGAATTAATATCTTTAATAGTATTCTTATTTTTTTACTATATATTCAATATATTTTATTTTATTTTTCACAAGTTTTTATTAATATTATAATCAAATAAATCTATTTAATATTTTAAATATTTAATTTCAACTTTAAACTATGTGTTTTAATTTTCATCAAAAGTTTTTAAAAAAATCAGAAATTTTTTATATTTTTTTTTATATGCATACCCTTTTATTTAAGTTTAAAAAAAATTATATGTTAAACCATAAAATAAGTTTCTTCTTTCTTTTTTTTCTTTCTTTCTTTTTTCTTCTCTCTAAACACATCACTTAATATCTTATATAATTATTGAAACTCTTCTAATTAAAGTTGTATAGTTATTTGCAACCTGAATGATTAGTTTTTAAAGTCATCTGTTGTTATATAGTTGTTATTTAAAACATAATACATATTCAACTTATAATTTTAACCATTATTAGAATAGAATATTTACAATATTATTAACAAGCAAATTATTTCAAAAAAAGATAGGACACTAAGTCATTTTTTTGGCATTGAATAAAAATCATTACATTTTGCTTCTCTGCTTATTAATTTTGTATTCTTTATTTTTTTTATTTGAATAGAAATTTAAAATGATTGGATTTGTTTTAAAAAGTTTATACAAATAATTCCAAAAAATAGAGACAACTTACAACTTTAGTTGATAATATTATATTATTACTTAATGCATAATATTAAGAATGTATATTATCTATTTAGAACCTATTACTAAATTTTATTATATATTGATTTTATATTAAAAAAATTATATATGTATAAGAAAATATTAAAATAATCCATCCATTTCCAAAATCAACCCACCCTATTGTAACCATCATAAGAAAAATGGATCATCTCCAAAAACCATCATTATAATTATGGCCCTTATCCCAATACCCCCCTCTTTGTTTTCAACCTTCTTCATCTTGACTTCTTCCCTCCCTCCTATTCATCTCCCTCCAATCCCAACTTTCATCTCAACTCCCCTTATTCCCTCTTGTTCCACATAATAGAGTGGATTGATTTAGTAAATAGGTGGATCGTTTTAACATTTCTATTAAAATATATATATATATATATATATATATACATACATACATACATACATACAGGAAATTGCGAAGTAAGCACCCTTGATTTCATATGTAAACACCATCCTTTTTTTAGGTAGACACTCCTTTGTGCCACACCAATAATATACCACTACTACAAGTTTTTCAACAAGCCAGATACTAATGTAAACACCATCCTATGTAAACACCATCCTTTTACTAGGTAGACACTCCTTTGTGCCACACCAACAATACACTACTACAAGTTTTTCAACAAGCCAGATACCAATGATACTAAAATGTATTAAAAAAAGAAAAAGAAAAAATCAATAGCAAGAACCCACAATACAAGAAGCATATCTATGTTATGAAGTCAACACACTATTTGTATATACCACAGAAGGCAAGAAACAAATACATAAACGAACAAAAAGCTTTAATTTGATTTACAGTTTGAACACTTGTGTTCACATCTTGACTTAATATTATGAAGGTCACTGAAATGAAGACTAAGGTCTCGGATTTGAAATGCTCTATACGATCAACGCACCAAGCTGAACAAAGCTCATCTGACGATCCGATCTGATCGGACTTTGAGGAAGTTTGAGGAGTTTGGAACACATCATGCCCTAAAACTAGTGCTAAGTCCCTCCAGATGTGTAACACAACGTAGTCGCAATTTGGCCGCTATATGATAGCAATTTTGTCACGACTTTTAACTCCCATCAACTCAGGTGTCCTTCCCTAACCTCTTCTTAATTTGTTTTTGGCCATGATATACAAAAGCATCTATAATGCCTGACACGGAAAAAACTCCTGCAACCCACAGAACGGTTAGAATTTCTTTCGCAAAGCATATTGTTTCGACAAAATGTTTTGTCTGGAGTAGACGAACTGGATCTGAAACTATTTATTAGAGAGTCAACCTCAGCGTTGAAAGAATTCAGCAAGTCAAGACACCGGACTATAAACTGAAGCTTTAACTTGAATGGGTGACAAAGATCCTTACCACCAACTATAGCGCATACATTCGTTAGGAAGTGAAAAAAGGACATCCTTTTCTCAGTGAATTTCACCTGTTCAACAGGGCAAGCAAACGCGGTAACTGTCATTATCTACGCTTTTGAACGGTGGTTCAATCAAAACACTTGAAACAATATCAATCATAGCTATAAAACTTCTCTATCTATCAATGGAGTAAGAAATTCTTAATTACAAGACTTGAGCAAAAGCTAAATTTTAGTTGACTAGAACAAATAAATATTGAAACCTTTATTGGTGACAAATCATAAAAGAAGAAAACGCCAGGTAATGCGTGATCTTCTCCAGGGCCAACTCCCTTAAAATGATCAGTAACAGCAAACTGCACAACCAGATCAAATTGTTACCAGACTGCAGTGCAACACAATTCGAACATACTAATATTCAAACTTTTTATTCAGTCCAACCTAGAGGCAATCCCAAATCCCCAGCGCAGCTTAAACATTGACATGGCTGCCACCAACACAACGCTCACAATGTACAACAATGTGCAAAATGGCGGTATACTAAACCTTAAAATTAGCGAATAATAAATAAAATTTGCATGTTGCATAAATAGCAGCCGAAAATATAACAGCGCAGAACAAACCTGATTGGTAGATATTTTGCGACCTCTCGTGTCTGTGTAAACTGTGGGTACCACCTGTGTCACCGCCAAAATCGACTCTTTAGTGGCAACGTATTGTAATAGCTGAACAAGATCACAATTCGATATTTACCCTAAATTAAGACGCCAAACTAACTGAAAATTGCTCACCTTGATAAAATATTGATACATTCCATGGGTGGTCGTTTGTATCCGCTCCAACCTATAATAAAACTGGATATTAATATCTACCCAGTACCGGACTTAGAGATAGTTTCCATGTATTTTAAACAACTGATATGATAGATAGTGGTCAACAAATCGCCTCTTCTCAATAAACTATGATAGTAATGTTCATTATTTTAATATATTAAAGGTTGATATTGGAGAAAAAGGTCGTACTTGTCCAAGGGATTCACTGCACCCGGATATCGAACACCGAAGCTTATTTCGTTGATTTTGTGACTGACATTAAAGCTGTCTTTCCCAAAAGCCATCAGATCATGGACGTGCATGTTTGCTTGCTGAAAGGATTTGCCAGGTGCAAAATGAAAATTTCCCGCCACCTTGTTTGCTTCTAGGGTACCATAAACATTACATCCCTCCCCATCTTCGTCCTTTATTTTTTGCAAAAAACCTTCCCTCTTGCACTGGTGTTTCCCGAAAACATCCCAACAGAAGGAACACATGAGCACAAAGACAGCAAGTGAGTCACAGCAGCACCAAACGATTTAGTACTTGAAATTTTAGTCCCCTTGTCGAGTTAAATGGCACGGCTCTAACGGGATCATTTTAAATATGACGAAATTGCTCTTCAGGTGTGTCTTAATACCGTTCCAATCCAAAGAACCGACCAACAAGACTACCTGATCGATGAGGTCAGGGTTATTCAAAGCCCAGCCTTTTTTACGATACGCTTCTCTGACTTCCTCACAGTTGTTACAGCAATGATCTTCTTCCTGCAAACAAACAAAAAATAGATAAAAAATCAACCGCCACAAATACTAGGCACAGAATATCTTAATGGGCAAGGAACATGCACAATAGAAGCACACTCTGACAATGAAAGATGTAAAATGATCACCATTCCCCAGCGTCACATAGGATCAGTTGCTGGTGTCATACTCATCTAAGACACTGAGTTCGTGAACTTACAGTTTCAGCGCCAAAGCAAGATCCACAGTACGTCTCGTTGTGCTCAAGCCTGCCCCCATGCTTCTGCAGGGGCTTATCTAGCTGCATCAACAGGGTTTGGACAATCAGTGCAAGTAATGACGTAGATCAGGATAAATAACTAAATATTACTTGAAATAAGTCTTATTCTCTAAATCCTTTTCATATTCCACAATTACGAACCTCCATATGAACTTCAAATCATGGAAAAAAACTGAAGCTCTTTCGCAAACTGAAGATCTTCGTCTCCGACGAGATACATACGCCACAAAAGTAGGATTAACACGACTAGAATAAATTAAACCAGATGTATTTTTTACCTTGGGTTGGTTTATGGATTCTTGCCTCGCAGGTTCGATCACCTTCCCATTAACGTCCAACCTCTTCTTGAAAATGTTGTGCTTCTGAAGCGATGCACATCAATGACGGTTCAAAATTAAGATCTCGTAAAAGTAAGGCTGTGCCATGTAACTTATCCTTAGTTTTCTCTAACGACAGGAAAACTTACTTTTGTGACTAGGAACACTCCTACATGGTAAAACGTGACAGCAACTCCAACAATAAACAAAAAGAGACTTTGAAAGAGGGTACATTCAACTAACCACGTCAAGGTGTGCCTCCCCGCTGATATCCATAGCATCTAAACTAACCACTGAACACGCCAACGCTGGAAAGGTGACATCCAACTGCAACCACATTGTATGTAACGGGTCATTATCCAATTTCATTGCTGGAACATCAAATTTCAATCAACATGCACGCTTTTCGGGACAACACTTAGAGTGACTGCAGAGTACTAAAACACAATATGCAAGAAAGGACCTTTCTTCTAAGCAGAGGAAACCCAAACTACGCTAATAAGCCAGCATATGAGGAATCAGGAAATCCAACACAGTTACTACATTTATTTATTGACTTATTTGTGTGTGAGTGTGTTCTCATACTCACGTTTATTTGTATTGTCCCTCCTCGCTCAGTGTCAACAACCAAGTCATTTGCTACTTGGGCAGCTAAGTACAGCTCTGCAATTACACAGGCACCGTAACAGACCATGTTAACTCGCACTCGTCAACAAGCTCACGTCTCCATTGAATGCACACGCAGATCCCATGAGATGCGAGCAGTTGAGAGAAATCTAAGCCCACTCACATTGATAAAAACCACGGTTCCAAGCTTGAGATGATGTGTTTCGGTCAAAAACCTATGGACGAGACCCCTTAAATGTCCAGCCCTAATGAGTTACTAGAGAGTGAGTAGAGAGCGACTAGAACGTGCATCGCATCTCCAACGATCACATTCGAGCTGGACATGAATTTGGACATAAGTGACGACCTGATAAATTCGAACGATGAAGACACTAACAAAGTATGCTGAATAATCCCATCAAACACTGAACATTCTTCCATATGAGAAGCTTCAATAAATCCTAAATGCCTGATCAACATTACAGAAGAGTACAAGTGCGATTCCAAGAAATAGAGGCAACAAGCTCCCACAATGCCGTATCAGTTCAGAAAAACTACTACGGAACGCATGTCCAAAAGCACAAGCCTCAAAGGGCGACGCGCTTCCAGAATACTAAGAGCAGGGGACATCTAAATTCCACTGCCTTAGGATGTCAGAGACTGTTCTCGAGACAAACTAGGATTCAAAAAATCTCCAAACTACACTCTCTGCTTCGAAACTTTAAAACCCATATGAACAGCGCTCACGCCTAAACCTGATCAGCAGCCAAAACAACCTTGCACCCCGGGCACGAAACCCACAACCTCAAGTGCACTTACTTAATTCCGAAAAGAATAGAAGCACCATAAAAGTGGCAGAAATAATGGTGATGATTCCACCAGACAACGTCCGGCTATAAAAATCCTCATTAATCTTCGGATACGCATCCAGCGACTTCAGCTTCTGGATCATCTGCAAGGCCATTATGCTCTTCCCACGCTCCGCTTCTCCCCTTCAACCACATGCAATCTAAACCCTACAACAAAACCCGACTGTGAATCACAAACCCTAGAGCTTGTCGCCCTTTGCAACTCTTCAAAACCAAATCCTCTGACCTAACAGCGCGTCATCCCGTCCCTCAAGCACAACTTGATGCTCCGTGCACCTTCTTTCGAACTTCACCACACCTTCAAACAACTTCGAAAATCGACCAAACCCAACTCAGAAGACTGTCGTGGAGACGGACTACGAGCTCCAGTGGCTCGAGTCACAGAACACGATGCTGATACAGCGATGGATCCCTCGGGAAAAGCGAGGCTCGCCGCTACCTACAGCGGACCGAATCCACCGAAGGGCTTCTTCTTCCACGACGTCGTCGTCCAGGTTGACCACAACCCATCATTCAGCTGGCACGTCGATGAATGAATGAATGAATAAGTGAATGCATGAATAAATTAAGATGAATGCAAATCCCTCCAGGTCGCAGTCCTCCTTTTTTGACCTGGCGTTCCATTGAATCACGTCTTCAAAGCGGAAATTACTATTTTAATGTTCATTTATCGTCCTAGCTATTCCATGTTTCCACACTAAAACATAAAATTTATTGGTGCCCCCAATGAATAATTTGATGCAAATTTGAATACTTTTTCTTACTGACAAGGGTAATGTTTACTATGCTTTCTTTAAGTTCCCACATGGTTTCTAAGTTTCAAGTGTTTATGTTTTTTATTTTTATTTTTTTCATGAATTGATGAATTGGAAAAAGGCATAAATTCCGAAATAAGACACGCTATAAATAAGGGGATGTTAAATAGACCCAAGTTTTTACTGAATCAACCCATTTATTATAACCATCATGAAAAGTAAAAACGTCTTCTAGATTTATTTCTTCATTAATGAATCTGCAATCAATAAAAAAACAAATTACATTCATCATGATTACCATATTCTTCATCAAGGGTGAATCTATTCAGTAAAAGATTGAATCTATTTAACATTCCCCTAATATATATATATACACGAATGTGATTAAAATTGGGAAGAGGAGGAGAATGTGGAGGAAAGGGGAACAAGGAGACACGAGGCACCTCGACAGTTCCACATGAGAACACGTGCAGTCCCCTGGGCTAGGGTTTCTTCGGCACTCTGCTTTTTCTCCTTCTGCTAGGTCGGAGGCACTGTGACCACGACCTTGTAATCCTCTCTCATGCCACATTTGATCAATGCCCCCTCCATGCCCTTTCTTCGCATCGGTTTGGGTAAATGCAGTTTGTGCTTCTGCTAATTGGGTCACGCTTGGAATTGGGTTTCGGCGATCCTGGGTCGTGAGCTCTGGATAGAGAGTGATTGCCAGTGGGTGCTGTGGAAGTGCGTCATCTCTTCTGGATGGTCGCTGTTGGAGGTCTTGACGAGCTGTGATTGCCACGCTGTGAGTTAGCTTGCGGTTGTGTGTTTTCAAAATTTTCCCCAATTGAGGTCTGGTGTAGATTCGAGATCTTTACGAGAATTGTAATTGGAAGAGTTGGCTGCACGTTTAGTTTGTGGCAAGGAGTAGCATAGAAACAGTCTTTCCGGCCTTAGAGTTGTCTTTACGGATTGGGTGTGACAGATTTTTGCTTTGACTTATGATCCGGATTCTACCCTTGCCCCAGGTTCAAGGCGCTAGTAGAATGGCATCAATTACATCTTTGCAACCTCAAGCACTTTCAAGACTGCAGGTTAGTGATGCTTTTTTGGAATTGGATAATTCGCTTTGAACCGAGCATGGAGTTTAGTTGGACAGGATTATCTTAGAGATGAAAGCAGGGTGTTGTTTTAGGTTGTTAAAGAGTATATGATGAAGAAATTTAGGTAATTGGGGGAGTATTGTCCCTTGGAAGTGGTTGACTGGTAGCTCGTTAATTGCGAAAGTTGTTGTGGGTCTTGATCATTACGATGTGCGCTCCCAAATGCCGAGTATGTTCTATGCTTTTGAGCTTCTTGGGTATGTTCGGGTAGCCATGGGTTTAATCAAGGATTTTGCATGCAGGCGTGCCCTCATACTTCATCCCTAGTCCCGGCCACTAGCTCTTCTTTTGCAACTTTTTCTGCAAGCTCGAGATATTTGTCTCCATCACTACGTTTGAACCAAGGGGTTATTAGCCAGAGCGAGAGTGTGTCCTGTCAACATCAAGGATTGGAAAAAAAATTCATTGCATTTGCTGATTTTGAAAAGGCTTCATGGAAGCCAATTACTAGTAATCACCGTAAAGGCCTCATTGCGAGAGCCAGCGACCCTGGAATTGTAAGAGCTGTGGCAACCTCAGTAAAGGAGGATGTGAAAGTGATTGCGCCAGATGCGGAGCTGGGTACAGATAATAAACATGGAGATGATGAAGAGAGAGTGGGAGTGCTGCTTCTGAATCTTGGTGGACCAGACACACTTGAGGACGTGCAGCCTTTTCTATACAACCTTTTTGCTGATCCGGTAACAAAATACGAGGGTGCAAAATCAGTTTATCAATCTTGGAAAATGATTAGTATCTTGTGTTCGCGTCACAGCCTTCACAAAGTAAGCATCTATTTAAGAACGGCCAGTGGATTGCAGAATGGTTTTTAACACATGTAGAATTGTGCGTATTTGTGATTACAGGACATCATCCGGCTGCCACGTTTGTTTAGATTCTTGCAAAGGCCACTGGCCCAGTTCATATCCACGTTACGAGCTCCGAAAAGTGCTGAGGGGTATGCTGCCATAGGGGGAGGGTCACCTTTGCGGCAAATGACAGATGAGCAGGTAAGGTTGTGATTATGAATTTTAGTACTGATACGTGGTTGATGTCGCATAGGAAAGTATAGCTTGAACACAGAGATGGTCCTGAAGTCGATTTCTCTACAATTTTCAGCTTTGCTTGTAATGGACCTCGTGTACTCCAAACCTTGTTTGTGGCCTTAAAATACTATTTTAGTTTTACGTAATCATCTGACGAGATTTGTTTTAGGCTGTTGCTTTATCTTCAGAAATGTCTGACGTGGGATGTTTTGAATAGGCTGCAGCTCTAAAGGCTGCATTGGAGAGCAAGAATTTACCAGCTAAAGTTTACGTAGGGATGAGATATTGGCATCCATTTACGGAGGAAGCTATCAATCAGGTGTCACTCAGGACAACTGTGAACATGTTGTAGACTCCTATACTTGAAGTCAAAGTGCCGGAAATTTGCTACAAGAACGGATATATATATATATATATATATAGATACATATATTTTTTTGAATAGTAATCAGTTCGTGGGATGCGATCAGCTGCTTGGGTAAGTATTTTGCGTTTCTAATGAAGTTTGTAATGGAGCGTGCAGATAAAGGAGGATGGAATTTCACGACTGGTGGTTCTCCCGTTATACCCTCAGTTTTCAATATCAACTAGTGGTTCCAGCCTTCGTCTACTGGAGAGCATCTTCAGGTACAGGCAGATTCCAACAATCAATGCCATGCATTTGGGTGGATCATACTTGTTGTGTCTGCTTACAGAAAACGGTTTTGCCAACCGCATTGGATTAGTCTTAACTGTGTGATGTATTGTGCAGAGAGGATGAGTATCTTGTTAACATGCAACATACAGTGATTCCGTCATGGTACAATCGCAATGGATACGTGCAGTCGATGGCAACGCTTATCGAGAAAGAATTAACAAAGTTTGAGAAACCTGACGAGGTAAGATCTCATTTTACTTTTTTAATATTTATTTGTAGCTTCTGCTTTGTGTTTTCAACAAATGGTGGGTGGACATCTAGGGTTTCATTTTTTATTTTTTATTTATGGAAATTTATACGTTTACTCAATTCTATGGTGCTACAGGTCCATATTTTTTTCAGTGCGCATGGTGTACCTGTGGCCTACGTAGAAGAAGCAGGAGATCCGTACAAGGCTGAAATGGAGGAATGCGTACAACTTATTATGGCTGCAGTAAAGGCTCGGGATATCCGCTGTCCCCATACTCTTGCTTACCAGAGTCGCGTGGGCCCGGTTGAATGGCTCAAACCGTACACGGACGACACGATCCGAGAGCTTGGAAAGAGTGGGGTGAAGAGTCTCTTGGCTGTTCCAGTCAGGTTTGTGTTATGTCGTGCAGATTTTGATAATTTCTTGCAAGTTTTTCTATGAAAGAGATTTGAGTGTGGTTGTAGCACAGTGTGTCAAGTATATTTGTTGAGTGTATTCTGCAGAACGATTATGTTAAATCGAGATGTCTCATAACGTGGAAGCAGTCTGACTTTGTGAACGAAATGGTTGTAATGGTTGCAGCTTCGTTAGTGAGCACATTGAGACTTTGGAGGAGATTGATATGGAGTACAGAGAGCTGGCCTTAGAATCTGGTATTAGGAACTGGGGCCGTGTACCTGCATTGGGTTGTGAGCCTGGTTTCATTGCCGACTTGGCAGATGCAATTATCGAGGCCCTGCCTTACGTAGGTGCCATGGCTGTTTCAAATCTCGAGGCTCGTCAGGTACAAGACATTGACTTAGATTCTTCTTTTTCTTCTTCTTCCTTTTCTTCTTCGCCTTTATTTTTATGATAATTATTATTATTACTGTTACTATAGTACAATCTCAGTTCAAATGTTAAGGTTCACTTTCTAAATAGCAGCATTGCTTTGTCCCTTGCAGTCACTTGTGCCATTAGGAAGTGTGGAGCAGCTGCTAGCCACATACGATACTCTGCGTCGAGAGCTACCAGCACCAGTGGCAATGTGGGAGTGGGGGTGGACAAAAAGTGCAGAGACATGGAATGGGCGTGCGGCTATGCTGGCAGTTTTAACTCTACTTGTTCTGGAAGTCACAACTGGGGAAGGTGTTCTCCATCAATGGGGTATTCTACCTCTCTTTCATTAAATTTTGTAGGGTGAGTGAAGCGGGCATCTTAACAATCAATACACGTTCAGAAGCCGAGTTTGAAGAGGAGCAGTAGTGCCAACAGGCTCTCCGGCTATCTTGGTTGTCCTGAGAATGCGACAATTACTCAGCGCGAAGACATGGTGCTATTTATAGTCGTGGCCTCCATAACTATTTGTTCATGCATCTTATTACACACATGTCTGGGAGGCATACGAATGCAGGCGTGGTTGGTGAAAGTTTTGTTCTGCAAGACTCTGGAACCTTGAACCTGCCAATGTCCTTGTTGCATCATCCATTCATCTTATCTGGTGCAACTTGCTTCTTGTTGCCTCATTTCAGATTTGTCTCTATGTCAACCTACACACTTCATATTATAGCGGTAATAACCGGCAATGCTTTTTACTGCATCAATCGTCAGAGGAGCTGACTCGCAAAACTACCGTTATCTTACCTAGAGAATTGTGACAAATTAGGTTTGTATGTAGGGCTTAACTAAACAATTTTCATGAGTCTACTAATTGAATAGATTAGCTTGACCCGTATATTTAATTTCAGGCACTAACATCAGACGGCAGACAAGGAGCTGCTTAGTGGTGGGACCTTCTGTGGTGATTGAACGCACTATGTGCAGGACTCTTATTATACTACTTAGGTTATCTGAAATCACCATTGAAGTCATGTAGTCTGATATAATACTCGACTACCTGGAGTAAATAGTGTTCCTTGCAAACTCCTTCAGTGCCTGTATGCTATCCTTGGTGATGGATTTCTATGAATAAGTTATTGTACAATGGATAGTTATGCATTGATAATGTCCCAATATAACAAAAGTACATGTCTTCTTAAGGTGCTCTGTCACGTGGACTTGAGAAAGCATTTGATTATGTTCGATTACCGAAGTTACCAGTAATAAATCACCCAAGTCAGCTATATAGTTTTGTGAATCAATAAGTAAACTTGCTAGAGGCAAATTATATGATTTTATATAGGCAGATGTGTTAGATTCTGTCGTTGGTATTATTATTCATAGAAGTATGCAACTGTAGCATGTGTTTTAATTATTAAACTTTGATAAAATAAATAAAAATAAACAATATTACAACTAATTTTATTCATAGGAAGTTGGAATAATATTAAATTTTTAACACATAAAAAGATGTTAAAAACATTCTATTATACATAAGATGGATCATATAAAGTTACAATGATATTCTTTAAATCATATAAAATACTTGTATTATTTTTATAATCTCAGTAAATGTGATATTTTAGAAAAGACAAATCAATCTGTAACTACCAAAATTATTTAAGACATTAAAAACACCTATAAAGATTATATAAAACATTTTGAGATGGTATTTTTAATACAATAGGTTATTTTTAGATATTCTATGAAAAAATTATTTTTGAAACAATAGTTTCATATTACTGAGGATAAAATTGTAATTTAGTTTTAGACAATGTTTGAAATAGGTGTAAAGTTTGATTGGTTATAAAGTTTTGATTGGTTATAATGAAGTAAAGTTATCATTCAAAATATCTAAAAATAAAATAAAATAATATGTGATGCATTTAATGTGGAAAGTGAAAAGAGTGAGTTTTCACGAGAAACTAAAAAAAATATTGATAAAATACACATGAAAATAAAAAATGATTTTAATGTTATTAAAATAAAGAAAAAATATCATAAATATCCTTGCAATTTGTTGAAATATCAAGATTACTTCTGTATTCTTGATAAGAGCAAATTGATCCCTTATTTTTTTTCATAATTGTAAATAAATCCTTGAACTTAATAAATTATAATCATAAACTTTTTTTTAATTGAAACTAGATCCAAATTGCATGCTACAGAGATTTTGGTGTAACACTTTTCTTCAAAAAAGCTCGTTATTTAAACAACCAAAACATCCTTGATGTTTAACCAATCCATGCTCTTCTCCTTATTGCAATCAAATGCCAGGTTGTCCACATCACCTTTGAAAAAACTAAATCCATTCCAAATGTCTAATAAATCAAATGAAGCACCACAATTGCCATTAATACCTAGAAAATTGAACAAAAAGTTATCCAACAAAAGTACTTTTCCTAAGTTGCAAGAACTTTGGACTTCAATAAGGCAAATGCTTTCATTCGAGTTAGAGTTAGTCTAGGAAGTTCTAAAGAGCTATGAATGGCAGATGATGCATGCATTTTTCTTATAGCAAAATCTTATTAATTTCAAATAAATCATATACCTTGTTATGTACTACGAATGATTGATGAGTCACTTGATGGAAACTTCCAATGTGAATCCTCCACTTTGCATGGAAATATATTAAAATATTACAAATTTTTTCTAGGTTTTGGAATCTTTATGGATGTGTTTTTATATATGTATTGAGAAGAATGTGGAAACTATTCAACCTTGAGTGAAAGTAATGATAATGCTAAATACATTGATCAAAAGGTTGCATAATATTACCCTCCTAAAGTAACCACATCCAACTGTAAAGATATCCATTTGAGGAGCATGTATGTGCTACGAATAATATCCACCAAAGTACCTCAATGTCATAGCATCAAAGAAGCGATAAGTGACGAGATAAGGCACCATTATAAGGTTGTCAAAATTAATAAGGGATGTAGTAATTTAGAGAGGTACTTAAGGGTTAAAAAAAGTACTTAGTGGGTAGTTAAAAAGTATTACAGTATGTAGCGAGTCTTATATAGTAGCACCATAAGTTATGCTAGTGTTGAGTTGGAGATTGTAAAATTTCAACTAAGCAATAAACTAGTCTTTGTCTTTTTTCAATCATCATGTGTAACAAGTCTAGTTTTGCAAGGTTGTGTCCTATGCTTATTAATAACTTCAAAAGCCCAAATAACATTTAGAAACCATGTTAGAGAACATTGTGTTATAAAATCTTAAAAGTTTCAATAGAAGATGAACACAAGATCCACTAGCAAAATTAGCAAAGAAACTAGATGTTATAGATACATTATATATGAGACCAAACAAGAAGTTGAACATAAGAGTTTAAATAAGAAAGCTAACAAGAACTTGATTAAATTAGATAAATACAAGCTTTCTAAGGTTGTTAAGACTGAGGATCCTCTTAGTCTTGACTCCAATATATACTAGGTATTAGGAAGCTTTTCAAGAAGTTTCTATATTATTTGAAGATGAAATAATCTTAAGAAGCTTCTTAAAAAGTTTCCATGTTGCTTAAAGATGAAATAATTCTAGAAAGCTTCTCAAACAACTTTCTTAATCTTCTCAAAAATTTCTAAAATCTCTTAGAATATTTTAAGAATATTCTAAAATATTCTAAAATATTTTAGAATCTTTTAGAACCTTCTAAAATCTAAAAAAATGTTCTTAAAATATTCTTAAAATCTTCTTATTGAATATCCATAACATCACTTCTTTTTCTAATTTTGAGTTCCACAAAGAGCATTGGTTTCATATCTGCTTTCTTTATTATATACATTCTAGTAGCAGATTTGTAGAGAAGTTATCTTAAAATAATTTTAGATTTTTAAAGATAGCATCGATGAAACTCTTGTACCTTTTGCGGTATATTAACTAGATTTTCTGCTAATTCTTATATATGTTCATTGATATTATAGCTATGCCAATGAATAAAATATTCCAACTTGTCTCTTCTTTGCCAAAAATCAAGGAACTTTTCTACTTCATATTCCACATGATTATCTATTTCAATGCAAGGTATTGATGTTTGTATTTTTTTTAGAATAGTTGATTTTGAATAAACCTCTAAGAAAGAAACTTAAAAGATTGGATGTACCTTTATAGATGTAGGTAGTTGCAACCAATAAGCCACTATATTGATTTACTTTTGAATAAAAAATGGCTCGAATCTTTTGTAGTCCAATTTATTATAAGATCAATTTGTTTTGATATTTTATCGAAGAAGCCATTCTTTATCTCTAACTTAAAAAATAAAAGATTCTTTTTTTAATTTGTATGAAGATGCTTTATAAGAATCTTGAGCTTTTTGTATATGGAGCTTCAAAGTTGTTTGGAATCATAAAAATTATTTTTCAAGATCTTCAACTACTAGATCTTCATCCTTTGATGTATCAAATAAATTAATCTTTAGATGGTAACCATAATTGGCATAAAATGGTGTTTGTTGAATCAAAGCATGAAATGTATTATTATAAAAAAAAACTTTATTAAAGATAAATATGGGATCTAATTATCTTGTTTATAGTTAATGATACATTACAAATATTGTTTCAAAACTTGATTGATTTTTTCTATATGATCATTTGTTTGATGGTAAAAGGCTAAAAAAAAGTTTAATATCTACCTTCTATATCTTGAAAAAGGATTTCCAAAACTTTGATATAAATTGAAGTCCTCAATTAGAAATGATATCATTAGATAGGCCATGATATTGATATATATTATCAAGAAAGAGCCTTGTTATTTCTTCTTTGAAACTTATGTTTTTGCATAAGAAAAAATGAGCCATTTTTTAAGGTTAATCTACAACAACGTAAATAGTATCAAATATAAATAATGTTAGCAAATCAATGATGAAATCCATTGATATTAAAAACCATAGTTGCTTTCAAATTAGTAGTGGCTATAAAAGTCCATAAAGATGATGTCAAGAATTCCTAGAACTTAAATCAATGTCACATGAGAAGACAAAGTCCTTCATAGTCTTTCACATTTGAGACTACCAAAAATCTTAAGAGATAAACTCTAATTTTTTATAAAATCCAAAATATCATGTAATTAGAAAATCATAACAATATTGAAGAAACAAAGTTACATCAATCCTTTTGGAATATATAAATGATATTCAAAATAAATAAAAAAAAATCAATAAACTTAAACTTATTATTATCAAGGCACTACTAGATATTATAAATTAATAAATCTTTAGTTGACACTGCACAAATTTGTTCAAAAAAACTTGAATCAATAGGTATAATTATAAATGTAGCACAAAGATAAAAAAAAAAAATTTGCTTCAAGAGAGTGATATATTATTGATCAAATGCTGCTTCTCTAACCTTTGGAGCAAGATAAGATCTCTTTAATAAAGTATATGATAGTCCTTGCTACATTTTTGGTCTTAAGGACATGAACTAGAAGAAGATGCATAAACTTAGAAAATCTATGTTAAAAGAAAAATAATAAAATAATAATAAAATATTATGTATATTAAAAAGAAATTAGAATGGCTATTTTCAAAAGACAACAAAATTATAGACTATTAAATCTAGACTAAAAATAAGAAAAAAATTGGAAAGAGTGAAGAAGGCTTCACTTTTGCCTCTATATATACTATCTAACCACGAGCTATATGGCGATGTTCTATAGGACCTCTAATATGTGTTGACTTTGTAGGACACATGCCTTAGCTTACAAGGCTAGTTTTTCTATGTCTGAGCCACATAATTAGCTTGTTTTTCAAGCTTCCAATATGTGTGGCATATGGCCAACTTATTGACCACGTTTCTAACCTAAAAAGTCAATTAAAGATACCTACAAAGTCAAAGTAGTATCTATAAAGCTTTTAGGAAGCTTCTATAGAAGATATTATGGAATTAACCTACTTTTACCTACTTTTATCTAAATCATATAAGTCATTATTGGTTTACATGTGTATGTTTATGACATCTTGCTAATATATAATTACAAAATCAAAATAAGATAATGACATATTCCAATGAGATTGGCAACAATTCAAAATTCAAACTAACATAAAAAATTTCAAATTTTTGTGATCTGTATATATATTCATAAGATATGTAGCACCTTCCAATAAAAAA